TGTTTTATGTTTGTTAATCCGTTTCTAAAATGTTAAGAGATGATCCACATTTCAACTTGTAGACTCCGGATTTTTGAATTTTTCGTGGTGTGTTTCTTAAGGCAATCTTAAGACCAAATTTAAATAGAGGTTTCGAAACTTTCTTTCTAGGTTCTCCTATGTATTGTATTCTTTTATAAATTTTGGGTTCGGTGTTTAATATGGGATGGATAGAGTTCAGAGTTATTTGAAACTGTTTTTTAGTTATCTTATCTATCAAAGAAGGGACGTAACCATTGTTACAAACTATTTGTTTTATAATATTTAATTATTTTTTAAAAGCATCTGGAAAGTGGTATGTTAGGTAAATTGTGGATTAAAGACTAAAAGGCAGATATTTTGTGTGTGTGAGGGTGTGAGGTTAGTTGTCTCTATGGTAAATTTGGTCTGTAGTTGTCTTCGTTCCAGTGAAACAAGCAAAAACATCATCGGCGTATCTGTACCACCAAAGAAATCTTTTACTCTGACGATGTTTCTCTATGATATTTTCTAGATATTCCATGAAAATTTCGGTAAGTAATTTACTAAGCGGATTTCTCATATTTAATCTTTCTTTAGCAATATAAAATTGACCATTAAACTAATTTTGGTTTAAACAAACTATTACTAGTATATAACGAGTCTTGTTTTATGATATCGGTGGAATGCTAGGACATATATTTTGAACGTCAAATGAAAGTAGAATTGCGTTAGGAGGAATTTTAATATTTTTAACCTTATGATATGATATTCCATAATTTTTATTAATCTTGTGGAATGTTTAATTGATGGTGCTGTTTCAAAAGAAACTATAGGCCTAATTGGCATATTCTGTTTGTGTAATTTAATCAAAGAATATAATTTTGGAGGTTGAGGATTCATAATTATTAGTTAGCATTTTTACGTCATTAAAAAGTGGTAAATCTGTAATTCCAGTTTTGATTTTATTTTCATATAACTCGGTGATATATGTCTGGTTTAAGAAAGTATTTGAATTTTGTAATATATTCGAGAGAATCGATAGCTATGACTGTCTTTCCTTTATCGGCTCTTGTGAACACCATATTATTTTTGCTTAGTTTTGGTTAGTCTTATTTTTAATTGTTTTTAATAATGGAAAGCTCGCAATCGACCCCTAAACAATTTAATTCCCTATTGGTGTTTGAGTAATTTAAAATAACGTTGAAATCCTTTTCTAGTAATTCACATTCTTCATTATTTTGTTAGAAGTTATGGAGATCGACAAAATGACATATTCGAATCTATTACTTAATGACCACTTGGATTTAAAGGACTCTCCGTTGTTAAATTTAAATTTATAACCAAACTGACCAACAAAGCACTGTGAAAATCTCTATGTTCTAATTTAATTGTGATACAAGTAGTACATACGTTTTACCTTCCTATACTTGTAGAACGATTCAGCGCATATTCAAATTACACTTTCTTTTTGGTTCGTTGCTCTCCTTCATTCCGTAGTAGAAATTACACCACTAATGGCAAAGCGCAAATGATTTTAAAATATTTAAGGTTTCGAGGCTACTAAAATAAAAGTATCTCCCTGAACGGACAAATACTTGTAAATCTTTTTTTTTTACTGGTTTATTGCTCGGTTTATCGATAGTAAAGGGCATTCCGTATATGATAGGCTAGCCAAGTCAGTCATGCTGGACCACATTGTTAGATACAGTAGATCGACAAGACATTATACGAAATATTTAATAAATTCACTTCGTTCCCTTATTGACATTACTAGATTGAACATATCTCTTGCCATGAGGTTTGGAACAGTCTTTCACCGCACCGATGAACCAATTGTAAAAATACTTTGATGGGTAATAATGGCCCCAATCGGCTTATCATTTCCGCTGCCCTTAACTTTAGGTACTGAACTTGCGTATTTGCAAAGAATTTTCGACTTATTTTGGGACTAGTTGCGTTTTATCTAGATCTACATGGTTATAGTTCTGGGATATTGTTTTTTCAATTAATACCTACTAAACGTATTTGGAATTGATTCTATGCTTTTGTTTTTTTTGTCTTTTTTCGCTTATTACAGGGTATTTTTTAATTGGACTTTTGAGTCCGTTTTCAAAATATAACTTTATATGAACATACGAGGTTAGCGCCAAAATTTCCCGGCCTGACATAGATGCAGCTCCAGTATCACGATAAAACTTTGTCTTCTTTTAAATATATATCTTAGTAGGCTTCGGAAAAAAAATTAAGTCTTGCGTCAAATAGTTTTTTATTGACAGCATTTTAAAAAAGAGCAGTCAAAGTTTTTGACAAAAGAAGGGTTACCACCTAAAATTATTAAAGAAAGGCTCGGTGGTGTGTACGGCCGAGGTTCTCCTTCGTGTTCTGTAGTGAAAGAATGGGCAAAACGTTTTCGAATGGGGCAGGAGTCCCTTTGAAATTGATTCAAGAACTGGTCGACCAGTGGAGATCATAACGGAAGATATTGGTGCGATTGTGGAAGAGGTGGTATTGAGTGATCGACGTTTAAAGGTCAAGGAAATCTCAGAAATTACTAAGCTTTTTAATAAAATACAAGTGTTCGTCGAATCCTGCATTATCATTTAGGTATGCATAGGGTTAGTGCAAGTTGGGTTCCTAAAAACCTTTCGGCTATTCAAAAAAGAATCAATGAAGTGGCGTCGTCAGGGTGAAGCACCTCCAAGAAAATTTAGAGTCTGCCAGTCAACAAAAAAGGCCACGATCTTTTGGGATTGTGAAGGAAGATTTTAAAGAAAGTGGTAAATATTACGCAACATTGTTGAGACTGTATACGTGTAAAACGTCGAGGAAAACTGACCAGAGGCGTGCCTCGTTTGCACGATAATGCACCTGTCCATACTGCTGGTGTTGCACAAGCTACCATTTTAAAGTGTGGGTACCAACAGATTGATCATCCTCCCTATAGTCCAGATATGGCCCCCTGCGACAATTATTTGTTTGCATATTTGAAAAAGGACTTACGTGGACTACGGTTTAATGACGACGTTGAGTTAAAAGAGGCTCTTTTAGCTCATTTTGCAAACAAACCAGAATAATATTTTTTTAAAGGGATTGAGTTGTTAATAAAGAGATGTAATAAGTGTATTAAAGTTAAGGGGGATTATATTAAAAAATAATAAAAAATTGTTACTCTACTTTGTTTCTTTCACATTCAGACCGGAAAATTTTGGTGCTGCCCTCGTATGTCCTAAACTTCTCAATTTTTGAGATACAGGGTAGTAAAATTTTTAAAAATAAAATTTATTCTTTTAATATGAAATTTGGCACACCGTACTATGCCGGGTACAAGGAATTTCAAATGTCTAATTTGGCAGACATTGATGGTACACTACTGATTTGTCTTATAATAAAAATTATTTTTATAATATCCAATCATTTCTAAAAAATTAAATTTCATGATTTTTCTCAATCCAAAAATAAAAACCTCTTCTCTGCATAGAAATTAGTTTTTTTTTAAGCGAAAATTAATGCAAGTTAAGGTTTTCATCTATCAAATAATTTACTATTTTTGTTAAGGAAATCGGTGCCGTGCCACTGACTGTCTATGAACAAATAACATTTTGATTAATTTTTGTTGCCACTGCACTGGTTAAATCGGGAACTTTTTTTTGTGAAAAATAAAATATCTATCTAAAACAAGATATTTAGTTTTCAGTTACCAACTAGTGTCCTTCAAAAAAAATTAGAAGACTATTCTTTTTACTTTTCCAGTTTTAAGGAAATAACATATTACCCTAACAACGAGATAAATAATAAAGGATTCTTATTTAAGACAAAAACTCTACCTACTATTCAATATTTTTAACAAAATTGTCTGTTAATAAATTAATAACAACCCTTTTGAAAAAAAGTAGAACATAGAAACTAGATAAATTATTGAAAGTGTCCTATTAAAGGGTGCTCGCTTCAGCTCTTTTCCTTATATTACCACGAATTACGAGCCTACATTAAGCTTGTTTATCATATAAGACTGACTATTCAGCGTCGTACAATGTTAACGTTATTGTCTACTTTAAAATTGTAATTTAGTTCCATTCTGCTTTTCTTATTAGTTCTTGTTGTATTTAAATGTTCCCGTTTTGTACAACTATCAATTGCTTTAATCAAATTAAAGTTTTTTTAAAAACCGTTTCTTTGGTAAACAAGCTTAACACGCGGACTCTTTCAAGTATACCTCCAGTGTTTCTTATTAATTCACATGACTCTATTACGTATTAGTACTTCGATTTTTTGAAGTATTTTAATAAAACAGATAGACAATTACTTTAATAAGAAATAATAATGTTGCATGCTGTCATATTAACGATATTGACTGACTGACTATGCAGAGAAGAGGCTTTAATTTTTCAAGAAATCAAGAAATTAGATTTCTTTAGAAATGATTGGAAATTGTGAGAATAATTACTATTTTTTAAGAAAAATCAGTTGCCTACCATCAATGATGCCAAAATAGATATGTGAAATTCCTTACGCCCGCCACTGGTGTATTTTAAAAAAATTGTGGTAGAGCAAATAATGGCTCTTGGTACATAGTACATGTGTGCCTAAATTCATTAAATTACAGATATTCAAAAAATATATTTTATGTTTGAAAAGTTTACCAGCCTGTATCTGAAAAGACTTTTAGGACATATGTTCATAAGAAGTTTTCTTTGTAAAATGGACCCAAAAATCGCTTGCTTAATTATTGACATTCAATTAGAATACACCCTGTATATTAATATTGTATGTCGCCTCATTTGTTTAGGATGGATACAGTGTGTTTTTTTAGACGTTAGATTAGTTCGGGTTAGAAATTTATCGCCACCAACCGATGACATCGTTGATTCTATTTGATGTCATTAGACTATTTTCTGTGAGGATTTTAATTAAGTCATGTAGACATAAAAAATGTTTTTTTTATATTTTATTTCAATTTAAACTACTGAATTAATTCAAATCGATCGTACCTCATGTTTCAGGACCTGCGTTGAGTGGGACACTGATAAAAACCATCGGTTTCGAATGGATGCTATTCGGAATCGCAATGTTGGACTTTTTATACGCGCCGCTTTTGATCAGCTTGAGAAATCCACCCACAAAAGAAGAGAAAAAGGTACTACGATGCATGAGTAAAGTTTTCGTGAAGCTTTTTTTTTAGTTTTCGCTTGCTTGTTGCTTATATGTTTTTCTTTTCTGAATTTTAGTTCCGTCTGCCGAAGTGTATGACGGTTTGTTTGACCTAAAGAAGCCGCGTTAGCGTATTTTATATTTTTGTTTAATTGCGTTTATATGTTATTTTGAATGCAAATAAATTATTACTTTGTGTTACTGTCGTTTTCTTTTCGTTTACGATATCGAGTTGCTTAATGGTCTCGCCCGCGACAATTTGGAGTGCTATGAATTTAAATTATATGGTCAATTACCGGAAGGCATGCTAATCGCGAAAGTTTGGAGATGTCCCACGCAATCAATTTACAAAACATTTTTTCTTCTTAACGTGACTAAGATCCAAAGAAGTAAATCTATCTATGGGCTATATTAATTTCATTCGAAAAATTCCTCTTTGAAATACAGGTTTTTAAAATTATGTATAAATTAAATTACTATTAATTAATTTGATGTTTTTGCTTTCTCTACAGCAAATAAAATTGTAGTTAAATTTATTAAAACTATGCACTTGCAATATTATTTAATTTACATTAGATGTTAGAAAAGACTTTGAAAAGATATTTAGTGATTAGGTTATCATTTACATATTACGAAGGACCGAAAACATCAAAGCTTAGTTAAAAATTAAATAAGAACTAAAAGTTCAGATTTTCACGAAATTATATATTTTGACATGACACTTGTTTCAACAACACCGTGCCTTTAAACAAAAAAAATCGTGAAAATCTTAACTTTTAGTTCTTATTTATTTTGATAAATGGATTTTCATCAAGTAAAAGTCACCTCAGTTCAAAGCTTAACTATAGGGTACATTTTTTTATAGATATTTGAAACCACTTGCTTAAATGACATGCATAGTAGCGTAGACATACATGGCGCCCAGAAATAGCAAACAAAACTGCAAAACGCCGATTCTGCTTGAGAAATTAAATTAAAGGTTCTACAATATTTTCCCTAATTTTTTTTTGCTGATTAATTTTAATTTAGTACATTTATTACCAATGACCAAATTATCAATTACCAAGAGATCAAATCTGCTCATAAATGAATGAATGAATGAATGAATGCAAATGTCATTTATATTTTTAGGGGCATCCGTGTCGTGCTACTGTCTATGAACAAATAATATCTTTGGTTAATTTTTTTATGAAAAATAAAATATCTGTCTAAAACAAAATATCTAGTTTATAGTGTCCTTCAATATAAAAGAAGACAAAAACACGACCTACTATTAATAATTTTTAACAAAATTGTCTGTTAGTAAATTAATAACAACTTATTTGAAAAAAAGTATAACATGGAATCTAGATAAGTTGTTGAAAGTGTCCTCCATCTTGAAGGATGGACGCTTCAGCTCTTTCCCTCATATTACCGCGCACTTTTTGAGGTATACCTCCAGTGTTTCTCATATACGATCCTTCAGCTCTTTACAGTGTTAACTAGGGTGTGATAAACCAGAATTTTAAGATGCCATAATAAAAAAGTCCAAACTATTTAAATCTGAAGACCTTAGAGGTCATGGTTGAGATCCGCCGCGCCCTATCCATCGGTTATTGAATGTGTGATTTAAATATTCTCTTACACTGAGCTTTCGCGCCGTCAGGCATGAATCACATTCTGTTCGTAATTAAATATGTTCATTTGAAAATGTTCGCCTATCTGGTGTGACTCTATTAGAAAAGCGCTCTTGATATAATCGCCTAGCTTCCGGTACACTGCCATCAGCCAAACCAAAACACAAAACGCATATCTGCCAACTCATTAAAAGTCGACCATTCTGTCAAACCACCGCATTGACAACAGAATTAATAATTCTCAGACACAGTCTACCACAAGGATATGAAATAATTTAGGTACACACTTTAGGTACTTCGTATTCGTACTTCGATTTTTTGAAGTATTTTAATAAAACGGACATACCTAAGTAAGTAAGGAATATTCACATTAACCATATTGTTATGTATAGCGGATTGAAAAAATCCAAGAAATTAAATTTCTTTAGAAATAATTGGAGATTGTAAGAACAATTTGTATTTTAAGAGAAATCAGTGGTGTGCCATCAAGAGACAGGTGAAATTCCGTGTACCCGCTACTGATGTATTTTAAAAAAAATTGGTACACTAAATAATGCCTCTTAGTACATAATACATGTGTGCTATATTTCATCTAAAAAGATATTAGAGATATTAAAAAAAGTATTCAATTTTTGAAAAAAAAAACACCTCAAAAGTGTTTACACGATTAGGACATATGGTCATATGAAGTTTCCTTTTTAAATTTAGGAAACACCCTGTGTTAAGCATGATCTTTTATTGCACGGCGATTCGACTTGTTCGCTAACTTGGTTCCATGATTATGAGTAAGTAGTGTAATATATATTTTTTAATTGGGTTTTTCAAAATGTTTTGCCTGCCGGGTCAAATCTTCAGCGGGGCTGCCCACATGTGCTAAACGAAATATTTATTTTTATTTTTATACTTGTCATTATCGAATTGTTGGTCTCTTTTTTCTATTTTTCTGTAGATAGGAACTAAGATTTTATAATTGGCGTTATCCTGCTGACAACATGACGTTAATAAGACGTCGATTATTAGTAACCAACTACGTTGATTCGGCCTTACCGTTGACGTGTATATGACGAAAAAATGACGTAGAATGCCACAGCCCATTTACACATATTAGAAAACTTAAATAACGTCATATTAAAACGGAAATTTTACGTCATTCTTTGTTGTTGTATGACGTACTTTACACGACCCTAATTAATGTAGTATGGAATCCAAAAAAAGACAAATATGCAATGAAAAATTTATTAAATATATAATATTTTTATATACGTATACATACATAAAAAAACATTTATCTAAACAACAAAAGAAAATATTTTAGATATATTAAAAGAGCTAAACGCTTTTCCAACAATAAAAATAGAGCCATCATTCCTCTTTAAGATATTATGAATTTCAATAATTTTATTGTCAATAATTCCAAACAATTTGCTTGAGAAAAGTTAATTGTCGTTACAGTGAAATTTTGAAAAAAAAAAGAGTTTTTTACACTGTTTGATGTTATGATAATCATTGAAGTTCAAACGCCCACAATTATGTTCAAAATAGCAATTTAAGATTTTCAAATGATGGTAAGGTGTAGTAGTAAATCTGTTACCATGTTCTAATAATCGTCTACTTATTTGTTGCAAGGGAGATTTTGATGATTTAACCAGCGACTTTAATTGACCTCAAAAATTCTCAAAGGGAAAAAAAAGCTGAAAAATTGTCCAAGGGTAAAGTAAGGTGAATCAGAAGACAAATGTTGTAAATTTGAAACTCTGGCCCGTATAAATGATGACAAGGTTTTACAAATTTCTGTAATAAATTATGAGCCAATTCTGTACCAAATTTGGGTATATGGGTATATTATAACAGCAAAACTCAGAAGTAGAAAATTCCCGATATTGACTTGTTTTGCTCTTTAATGTGATTGAGTGATCTTAGAAGACTGATTTATAGAACTATAAGTGTAAAATATTTGCTAATTCAGTAGATATTGGTATCACCTGAAGGTGTTATTTCCTTGTTTACTGCCGCTTGCAAAAAATAATGAAGTTGATGATGTTCCGTCCAGTCGGAATTGTTTTGTTTTATTTTTCCTCTTTAATTTTTGTAATTGGGGAATTTTTATATCGAGCAAATTGAAATTGGTTTTCTTTTAATTAATTGCTGCGGTTATATTCTCTGCGTATTTTGGTGACAATCTCACTGAGTATATGGCCAGAAAAACTCGTATATCGCTTGGATGTCGTACTCCGCTGTGATCGGGACTAGTACGACTCAGGCAAAAACCAACGTGAGAGCATTTTCCGCGTGCCAGAATTAATATCTCGAGTGCCGTCAAGTATTGCGAAATTGTGCCGGTCAACAGCCAGAGCTACATCAAGGTAGGCCAAGAAGAAAAGAGATTGTCATTTTTCGTCTCGTTACATCAATATATTATTTTTTGAATCGCCCCGTTATTTTTAGCTTCAATTAAACAAAAAATTACAGTCCATTGCTCTTTCTCGTCCAGACGAAGTTAATCTTGTTGAACTATATGGCGAACCCTGTTCTACATTCCGATCTAAAATATAAAAAAGTAGTCTACAGATAATTCGATTCTGTAATCTTCAAAACCAAATAGCTTGTCGGCGTCTTACGTCAGCCAAAAAAAAATCTATGCACATTACGTAAGGGCCAGGAATCTTCCTTTGGAGATGGTCCCTGTTTTAAGAGCTTTTCAAATTTGCCTTGTGTTTTCATGGGTGACCAAATTCATCTAGATATTCTAAGAGTTAACCAACTGTAATGGACTCCTATGAAAGCCATTTCTCCATAATTAGTAAAGAATGTGCTTAGTAAATTAACCTTGTAATTAACAAATATTATGCAGAACACTTGCTGTTTGTGTTACAACCAACAAATATTGATACTGCAAAATACTCACCTTTATGCGGAACCCACACTTCGACGATGTAAGTACCGGTAATATGGCGACCACCGCGTGTCTTTGTTTGCTGTTTCTGTTCGACCGTTGGTGAGTCGGTATTGGTTAACGTATGGCGCATGCGCGGCACATGACGGTTAAATTTAATTTAAAGGAACGGCACAGATAGTTTATTAATTTTCTACTTTCTAGTACATTTCTAAAGATTTCATCGTTAATTTTAAAATCGATGAATAACGGTTATAAACAATATGAATAAATATCCATAAATATACGAGCATGTTATCTTATATATTTCAATCGATGCAAATAAAAATTCGTCTGATTGTCTAATTTTACCTTCCATTTCAGTCCTTAATTACGGGAGATCACTCGTCCGTACGATACGTCACCTACCAAAACGAAGACGACGACGAATGAACGGTTAAAAGACTGGGTTAATCGTTGTAAAATTTGTACAGAACGCTGTAATAATGTACAAACAAAAAGCGCGCCCGCATTGGAAGTCGACACTAACTAACCAAAAGCCATAGTATCTTTATTTAGTATCGTTTAAGCTCTCCTGAATTTATCGATGGAAGTGTACCCATCAAAGAATCAATCAAAATTTCAAAATCGAGGGTCCCCGTGGTGGATTACAGTGAATGGCTGCGCGTAATCCTTCAGGAATTCTGAACGGGGCAATCAGATACCCTCACGTTTCGGAACGTAAAAAATTCGCGAAATACTTTTGCCGATCATGAAAAAACACTTCCATCTCAACCCGAATGATTGCCAAAACAGTTTAAAAAAAACCTCTGCTAATCAGTATTATCAATCGATGTCTATTTAAACATAGGTTAAGTGTATTTTAGCAATTGTTAAAGAAATAAAAAAAAATCATTCAAGGAGAATTGCTGAGCCAATCAAAATAAGCCGTGGGCACAAATTTGGACAACGGACCGCGAGATTTCGACGGCAAACTTTTTAGAAGTTACTCGACGGGGTAATTTTATGCAAGCCTCAAAAACCTCGCGTCCAGTATCTTAAATATGGGGACCTAAAAAAAAAAAGATGTTTGTAATGCTTATATTGCTGAAGTACCTATTTCTGCTAAAAATCTGTGTGTGTCTCGCGAAATAAATATTTTAACCGTTTTTGGGAGACGAACTGTCTCCTCAGAAGGTTATTGTGTGAAGAGACAATAATCAGCAAAATACAAAAAAAATATGACCAATACTTGAACAAATAAGCTGGTGAGGGTCCGAAATACAGGGCATAATCGTTCAAATAGGCGATTTTTGCTTTTATTATTCAGTATTATTAGTTAAATATGGGGCCATATATATTCCAGATGTGTTTTAATGAAGTAGATTTATCGTCGGTGTTATTAACTGCATGTTAGTCTTTAAGATTTACCAAAGTAGAAATTTATCAAACATCTTAGAGAAAATGGCTAAGTGTATTTAGAAAATAACTGTTGTATGTTTTGATGTATTTATGGATTAACTATGGTGCAAAAAGATTAAATAAAAGGTTACAAAACTCCAATTTTATTGTTTCATTCGAACCACAAAAATATGCAACAAATTAATTTCAAAATAGAAATTGGATTTCAAGAAAAATAGACAAAATACACAGAAGTAGATATCGATACAAGTTTCTATTTTTTTAAAGTCATTTTCGAATTCTGTGTCACATTTCACGCATAATTTATGAGCAAAAGGATAAAAACCATAAATTTAATTTTGACATGGACAGGTTAGAAGATAATATTGAACGACCAAAAATATAGTGCATTTGTTGCTTTGACGTTTTAAGTACCTAACCTTAGTAGACCTTCGCAGGACCGTCATAAAAACGATCCCAAGAGATGTGTAGAAACTTGAAATTTTTATTTGAAACGGAAATGGACCGTTTTAAATTTGGTTATGCATTGATACGTACCGTTCTTAAGAGTTTAATCTAAATTGGAATATGTTCGTATATATTACGGAGGTATTTCACTGTGATCCTTCCAGTAAGTAGGTATTTATGTACCTAATTCTCGAGCTTTGAACCTGCGAGGCCTTTTCTCTAGATAGTTCAAAGGGTACTCTATTTGTCTTACATGTAAGTTTGAAAATTGTCATTTTCGTCTTGCGTGCCTTTCGATTAACAATATTCTTCTTCCTATATTATTGTATCTTCATCATCTTCAACATTCTTTTTTAAGACTATAGATTATATTCGCGGTAGATAAGGTACGTCATAAGAATGCAGATAAATATATAATAATATACAAGGTTCCTGTTTTCTAACACTTAAAAATGTGGAGACAGTGGAATGAAACAGATGTTCCCCTGTAAGAAGAAGACATGGAAAACAACGCAGAATTTGAATGCGAAGTGAAGATGGTAGTCGAACTTATGGTGCACGTACTAATTTACGCATTTGCCAATAACGTGTTGTGCTGGTAAAAGACCATTGATTGATTGAATGTTTACAATTTTATAAGAAATTCAAAGTAGGAGCACCAATCAAAACAAGTGACACGATCAAAGTTCCGAAGTCAACTGTATAAAAGAAAAACTGCATAAAAAAGTACTGACAGACCTAAACATTAGTTGTGGCAAAGAGTGGTTGCGTAGTTTTTAGAATAAAATAGATTTTCAGTTCCAAACAATTAATAAACGACAAGTGCTAATGGAATCTCAAAGAATTTCGCAATGGAGGGTGGATTATAATTCAGCAAGAAGTAGCTAAAATATCAGTACAAAGCTGGTCTAGCTATGAAAAACAAGTAATTAATGAAGAAAATATTTATCGAAAACGATTAGTGGCGGAGTTTATCGTTAAACTAGGTGACGACAGTAGCGATAATGACGATTTTTTAAGTGACTGACACTTTAATATTATTATATTCAATATTTGGTATATTAGTAATGACACTATGCAGAAATGTAATGAAATAGAACGTAATACATTGTTACTTTGTACTAATTTTTTATGTACATGTTTCAAGAATTGTAGGTAGAGGGTCTGCTCGCAGGGTGTTCTATAAGGGGTTTTAGAGTAATAAACAGTGGGCACAGTTAATCACGAGGTTGGTTGCAAAAGCACTATAATTCTGGTCGAAGTATAACAGTAAAGTTCTTAAATAGTGACAATTACATTTCATAGTACAGAAAGTAAATACGGCGCATCTAAACCCAGGGAATTGAAATTTTATTTTTTATGTTTGTAATTTGTTAGTTCTAGAAATAATACCAGCTTTTATCAAACTAAGCAGATAGAGGGGTCGAAGAACCGAATCTTGTGGCATCCCAAAATTTCAATCCTTCGAAAATATATATATATATATATATATATATATATATATATATATATATATATATATATATATATATATATATATATATATATATATATATATATATATTCTCACGTATTGATTCACGGATGGAAAAATGTGATGACACTATACTCCGGGATATCATCCGTTCGCTCGTTGAACTCCGACTGGAATCCTGCAAATCCTGCATCCGACTGGAATCCTGCAGACGTTTCGCCAAAATCTCACTTGGCATCTTCAATGCTCGCGCTCCGAAGTTCGAAGTGTTTTCGGAGCGCGAGCATTGAAGATGCCAAGTGAGATTTTGGCGAAACGTCTGCAGGATTCCAGTCGGATGCAGGATTCCAGTCGGAGTTCAACGAGCGAACGGATGATATCCCGGAGTATAGTGTCATCATATATATATATATATATATATATATATATATATATATATATATATATATATATATATATATATATATATATATATATATATATATATATATATATATATATATATATATATATATATATTGAGTAATGTTATACATCTCGCCTCTGAACTCTATTTTTTTCAATAAAACGTCAATACTAACCATATCAAATGCTATTTGAAAATCTGTGAGATCTATGTGAAGTCCAGTCAGAGCAATGGCGCAGTTACGTCCTAGCATTAAATCTTGATTTAGTTCATTACTGAATGTCGTAAAATGACACAGGAATTTTGTTTGTTCGTTTGGTTATGGTACTAAGACATACGGATCACTTTTGATTACCTCACTATCCGTGAAGTAACTCCAAAACATTGACTGGAGAATACGTACTAACGAAAGATATCATTTTCTTCTTAATCACAGTCTCATCAATGTTTGCAAAGATATGAGTATCACTAATAAGGCGATAATTATACATACATTTTCTACAACCAGATTTAAATATAGAACTTAGAATATAGAACACCACTGAACAGGACCCCGTTCATTAGCCTAATCAAAATAACCACAACATCATCCTTAACATTAAGTATATTTTGAACAGTTACCTGATCATGGCCAGAGCCGATGCTTTTATTTAATCTTTATAATTCATTCACAATTTCATTTTCATTACACATTACTTCATTGTTTACTTCTTGTACTATATTTTTACTGTATTTTTCCCAGAGAAATTGACGTTAAGTTCATTAGCATTAATTGCATTATCAATTTTAATATTGTTCACAATTATACGTTCTATGCTGTGTTATTTTTATTTTTCTTCAAACTATTTATAAATCGTCATTGGTTTTTGGAATCATTACCACAGTCACGCTATTTTTTTCTAAAGTATTGATTTTTTCAAGTTTTAATATTATTTGTTACTTTCCCCAGCTCATTCCCCATATTTGCAGAGTGCTTCTTCCTGATTATGTGCATTTTTTTTGTTTTTATTAATTCCATTGGTCATCCATTATATAAGGCGGACTATGCAGAAACGCTGCTTCAGCTTTACATGTAATAAGGATATTTATTAGATCATGTTCTTTTTCTTTTCTTTTCTGAAAAAAATATCTTCACTTTTATAACACAGATTCTTTTTCTTTTTGAAAATTCTTGTAGGAGAATACAGTTTCTGGCTTTTGTTAAATCATATTTCACTTAAATTTTATTGTCTGCTGCGTAGACCAAGTCTTAATTTGATCTTGATCTCCTTGTCTTCAAAAGCAACCCTAAATGGACTATTTTTAGTTGTCTTTACCCTGAGTTATTACATTTTTATTTTTTGTGCCTTTCTTTATATCTGAAGTTGTTGATTCAGCACTAATTGCTCATTAAACTTCGTAAACATTGAATAATACCCTCTAAGTTGTAGTTACTCTTTGGCGCTTCATTTGTTTCGTGATTTTTTACATTAATGCTATTTACACAATGTTTGCAACTTCAAGATTAGCTAGATTTGCTACCATGTGGTAAGTCTTTGATTATATTGATTATCCAGAACAGTTTTATTGCAATTTAAATAAATACTATTTCATTAAAAAAAAAGGAAAGAAACCCTTTATAAACATATGATGGACGTGTGCGAGAATTTTTCATAAAATCCATTACCTGATTTTTAAATGAATTGGTTCCGTATTATAGCAGTTCACTGTATAATTACATCGTTGTTGCATGTCGGCTCGGGCCAAAGCCACATCGGTCCTTAATAAAAACTCTCAAGTCCCAAAAGCGTAAAACTCTTCCTGCAACCGATAGTTAAGCATTAGCGAGTAAAACCGCATTTTTCATTTGGAACCCGCGAACGACCTGCCCCAATTTAGATTGAAGGAAAGTTTATCACGTTTGGTCTAATAGAAGGTAGTTTACGTAAATGGCGTCGCACAGGGACGTAATAGGTAATGATTGATTCCTACATAAGAAATGATTGAAGTCCCCGCGGTGTGGCAAAAAAATTTGGGTAACATTTATTTAAGGTTTTGATTAGTTGAATTGAAAGTTTTACTTTTTTTTTTTAATCAAAGTGGAGTCAGGGTGTACAAACTGAAATTTTTTATATTTTCAAAATATGATAATGGTTAACCGGTTAATGTCAGATTTTTTGGTGTGATAATAATGGGACTTTCTAAAATTAAAGGTAAATGAACTTAAAAAGTAGATATTTACATATCTCTCAGGTTTTCAAATATTATGTTGAAAGTTGATATGTATCCATTGAATTAGGTTTGGTTATGTTAATTTTGTAAAAGAAAACGAAATAACAGCAGAAGGAGGGGGATTTTGTACTCTATTAACCCCAAATCGTATCGCGGTACGCCTATGGTCTTAAGACTTATTTCGTTTTACTTTACATAATTTTTCCCTTGTGTATTTTTGATAACAGTGTTTTTGGAGGTATTGTAAATTAGTGAATAGATTAAAAGTTTAAAGTTGAATATTATTAGTAAATAACACATTTTTTTTATATTACTTGTCAATAACAATATGGAAACTAATAATTTTGATACAGATGGACAGTTAAAAAAGGACAAGACCATACCCGCTCGAATGTTTTTTTTTTCAAAGTGTATCTAACAGGCATGAAGCCCAATTAACAGGTAACATGCAGTACATAGTTACAGAGGCATTAGATGGAATATACATGACAAAACTTAACCTAAAATCTAACCTAACATAAGCATTAACAAAGGCCAAGAGAAATAAAAAAGATTGAAATTTTGAGTTATAGTTAATGAGGCAATAAGGTTTTTAGTTTAGTAATGAATGGCAAAAAAAGTTGATAAAACAGGTTTATTTTTATTTTATTTGTTCTTGACATGGACAGAGAGACTATGTTGCTCTGTCTAGAGTTTATAGAGGTGACAAAAAAATGTAGACTAAAACTAACCAAAACAAAGTAACAATCGTAGTCGTGAATTTGCTTTTTTTCTGGCAAACTTTTTCAATTATTTAATAGTTAATATGAAAATAAAAATCGTATTGTACGTGTCAAAAATATCAGATATCATCGAAATGGATATATCGATAGATAACCGCGAAATTTTTAAACCCAACCAGAATTCGTTTCTTTGGAAAATTTGTAAAAATTTGCTGCGGATGGGTTATATAAAGGAGTGTTTTTGTAAAAATTTGCTGCGGATGGGTTATATAAAGGAGTGTTACATTTTGAAAAATTTCGATTGGAGGTTTAGCACTCATTTTGGGTATTATTTAAGCAATTTTGTTTCTTTTTGTGATATATCAATTAGTTTCTATAAAATTCCTTCTTCTAATTAAAAAAAAATTGTTAATCATCAAAATTTTTGACAAAAATACGTGCAAACACTGGTTGAATAAATTATTTTCATCTCCCTAGGAGACTCCAAACGATATTGTCAGATATTGTCAGCAGTAAAAAAGGGAGCAGTCTAATAATTAAAAAAACTCTTTTTGACATCCGCAGCATAAACTTAGCGTTACTTACATTTCGCTATAGAACGGAAAATTTAAAAACTGTTGTGCCAGGAAAAGCGATATCTGAAAGACTTTTTGGCATCAAACTCATTGAACATTTCACAGGATTCCAACAAGGCGTAAAAAATGAGTCCAAAATTCAAATTTTGAACTTCACTTGTGCAGAAAACTATAAAATTTATAAGGATGGAAAACTATATAATGTAAAATTTTAGAACAATCTATATATGTAGTTTAAGCAGTTTTCTTAAAAGGATACATTTAACAGGCCGTGACTGTGGAAAAGGAAAGTTTTAACTTCCGTTTTTCAGAATTGTTATTACTTGTTACTTGAAGAAATGTCTAGTATCAAGATTTAGCATTCAGGGGTTACCATTATCGGTCATTCTTAGCCTATTACCAAATTCATGATGACATCAACAAAGAAAATTTTACATTGAAAATGTGTGACAGATGTGTATGACAGAAGCTTGTGAAACTAGGATTAGAGAAAACCTTGACTAAAGTTTTACGTCAAAGCAACTTCCAAAGCGAGTAAATCAGCAAGTGTCAGCGTAATCAATCGTTTCAAAACGAGGACAGTATTGCAAAATCAACAACTGCATCGGAAGCTCGACGTTCTGTACAAACTGAAACTCCTTATTTCTACATCATACAGGGTTAAAGTGGCGCAACGGCCATACGTCTCAGGAATTATTATACTTAAATTTATATAATTTAGTATATGGGGTTTCTAATTATCCAAAGTTTCTGCTCTTAAAATTCAAAGTATTTCTCATGTAACATACCATATACCGAAATTAACCGTTTTTGCAATAATGACAAAAAACGAAAATATTTCAACTAAACAAAAATATTCCTTTTCTATCTAAAAAAAAAAGTTTGGTGGCTTGGAGAAAAAAAATATAAACATTTTGAAATACATATCGAACGATAATATATTTTTTTAAATATAATAAAATAAAAATGAAAAAGGAACTCGGGTACAAATAATGTTTCATGGAGAGATTTTGCAGAAATCATCGATTTGGAAATAGTATAAAATGCAACAAGTGCGGTAAACGGCATTTAACTCACGAGTTTATTTGACACAAGCGGAGTGAGTGTTTAATAGTCGAATGACTAAAAAAGTTTTCCGAACGTGTTGCATACTATACTTTTTCTCCGACCGTTAGTTTTTGGATACATTTTCGCAAAACACGAATACATTCACTGACATGACTGTCAGAATTGACAAACGTCAAAATTCAAAGCGTGGGAAATATCTCCGAAAACATCCGGTTGCTCCCAAATCCGTGAAGTAAAATCCCGGAAATGTCCGAAGTGGCTCGGATCCGCGTGAAACGAAACTGGCGTGGTAAAGTGACGCTTCCCGCACGCTAGATCCGTGTGTAATTAGGTATTTTATAGACGGGAGTAGAAAAAATAATTTGTAAGTTACTTACATGAAAAATTATTGTATTCCTTAGTGATTAAAAAACTATTAAAATATTATATCACAAATACATACATTTTTTTTTTCCATAAATTAATATTTTTAGTGTCAGTGTTAAACTAATAAACACAAATTTTATAAATCTCATAAATCTTCAAAACCGACATAAATATATTATTTTGGAAGTTTTTTTTTTTCTTCAAAAATTTGTTTCTTAATTTTTTTTCTTTCTCTTCAACTTTAATTCATTAATTTTGTTCATAAAAAAGGGCGTGTTTAAGACATTTATTTAGGAATTTTGGCACTTCTTCATTTTTTGTTGATAAACAGATTACAATTAAAGCCAAATAGAAAAAAAGCAGTCAAAATATTTTTTCTGAGTTTATCTTACTTATATTTATCTGTTATAACCTTGAAAGTACCAAATTAATTTGTTGACTTCAACAATATTGATAGAGTGAATGGTTCAAAAAATACAAATTAAACATATCCCCAACAAAATTCGTTTAATTGCTTAAATAGCGCTCTTGTGGTTACCAAATTCTAGTTATCAAAATTGCTTAGTATGTAATCAAACGTCACACCTTAGACGATAATCTACAAATAGTGTAAAAATAACTATTAAACCACATATTGATGATAAGATGAGTTAATTAATGGAACGACTTTAACACTAAAAATTTTAGAAATATCTCAAGATTTCACAGATCAGGTAGGCCACATTTCCTGAGCGATTTAGCCCGCGTTACTCCTATTTTTAATAAAATTCTGCACATTCCATGAATCGTAAACATTGGAGCAAAAATTGAGACTTCGAATATAATCTAAAATGAGTTAGCAATCGTGGGACAAAATCTTTTTTTAGCTATTTTCTAGACTATTCATTCTTGGGTCCAGTTTTGTCCCCTTTTTTTATTACTCAACGCCTATCTGACAAACGGTCTGTTGATAATACGAAACGACGATAAAAAATCCCATATCGGGCAACTTTCTCTCTCTGCAGGACTAAAATGTATTTAACGCGCCCACCATGTCTATAAAGGAACGCGCGAAAATTCGAAAGGACCATTCGTGCATTGACGATTACCAAGTTTTATAAGTTTCGTGCTTGTTCCGCCTGTTTGGATTATTTTTCAATCATGTATAGTGTAACGGTAAGTACAAGTTTCGAACTGTTCACAATTGCTGCACAAATTCTCTATTTTTTTTACTTGTGCACTAAATTTTGCCTTATTTTAACTCTACAAAGTCATTAAATATAACATTCATTTGAAAAATATTATTTGAATACAATCAATACCTCCACAAATGCAAAAGTTGTATTAAAAAAATTATTCTGCGCAACGCTTTATATTATTTAAAAAAAAAAAAACAAATAAATAGCTAATAATTTATTTCAATCTGAAAATAACCAAACACCTAGATACTTATTTTACAAACTGTTGAAGTAAGGTAGGTATCACGCTAATTTTCCAAATACAAAAAAAATAATAACATAAATTATTTAAATACCCAGATTGCACACGATATCCGTTGGATATGTCAAATTAGGACATACATTATCCACACAGGCCACAGAAAACTATCTAGGCGTTCAAAGAACTATTATTTTCGTACAACTTTTGGACATTCGGATATCTTCAAAAGGATATTCTTCAAATATTTACTGTCGGATATAAGACAAAACGATACAAAATTTAGGAGCATTGTTTCAGAGGTAAATTTTTATGCACACTGAATAACGATAATGTAAAGCAAACCTTACCAAAAGCTGATTTCAAGGATTCTAAGAACACAGTTTTGTTGTCAAGTGGATTTCAATCGGTCGCTCTATATTTTATTTATATTTATTTTTTAAAATCGTTACTAAACAAAAACTGAAATTCATTGTTTTGGTTATAACTTAACATCCTAACTAACCAATTCTCGTTATCCCATTTTATTCACGGCAATATATTGTACAGGCACTTGTGGTACTAGTATGGTTCAAGAACTTCAATATTTCTTTCTTCAATGTTTCTTAAAAGAACCTTTTGCGATTTCGAAAGAAATGTGTACGTGTGTTCCAAGGGAAATCCTTACTTGTATTCCAAAATGACATCCAGAAGTACGACAGTTGCAAATCCTGGGCATCCAATGGACCTATTTGTCCAAAACGGACATTTTGTTGGATTTCCAATGGATTAAAGTATGCTATTTTGGCATGGACATGAAAAAAGATTTATGATTCTATACGCTGTCCTAGAAGGTAACTAGACAGAAAGTAGACAATTCTAAAAAAGATAAACTTTATATTAGAAGCTTCCATCCTAGGGGGTTAATCTTTGTCGATTTAGTGACAAGATTTCTCAAATAATATAAATTCTAGAAGGTAACTGTTTTTGAAGTAGACAATTCTAAAAAAAGATAAACATTTTATTAGGAGCTTCCATATTTTATTTAGCAAAAAAATCATGGTTATCCGCATAATGTGGAGATATACCTCTTAATTCCGAATGTATACAGCGATAAATGTTATAATAAAACAACTTTTCAAAAGGTTTTTGTATAAAGTTAATAATGGTTATCAATGAATAAAGCCAATAGCAGCAAATATTACTGCCCTACTCTTAACCATTAGTAGTGAAATGTTTTCCGAAAATAGAAGCCTGTACTTGCCATATACATTTGGTGGCAATACTTCTTACAATAAAGTTACGCATTTCTTTCTTCCGTACTGAAATATTCTCTCTAATTAATATTCGAAACCGCTATATCGTCGAAAATTCCTAAACCAACCATGTTTTCCGATTGAACTATTTATTAAAATAAAAAAACCCTGCAATAACAATCTTGGGTCCAAGTTATTTTGTATTTGGAATTGGTCCACACCTGATTTATAAATTCCATTTATTGATCTTAAAGTTGACAAGAAAATAACAAATACTTTGAAACTTAAAACATTATTTCAAATTATCAAATAATACGTTTAAGAAATACTTGCTTGATTTTTTTTATAAAAGCAAAATCATTATAGCAGATAGAAATTAATCATTTATTGTTCCTACCATTCGGGGTAATTGCTGTATGCTATTTGGGCATGGACATGAAAAAAGATTTACTGTTCTATACTGTTTTTGAAATAGACATTTCTAAAAAAAGATAAACTTTATATTAGGAGCTTCCATCCTACGTCCTATTCTCGGCCATTTTGGAATCTACTAATCAAAAAGATTTTATTGGAACTATGCGTCAATAGAAGGGGTTAATCTTTGTCGAGTGACAAAATTTCTCAAATAATATAAATGAAAAGAACTAAACTAACCAAAACTATATTTTATTTAGTAAAAAAATCATTATCAGCCTCTTAAATCCGAATGTTTACAAAGATAAATGTTATAATAAAACATCTGTTTAAAAGGTTTTTGTATAAAGTTAATACTGGGTATCAATGAATAAAGCCAATAGCAGCAAATACCCTTAACCCTACCTGATTTATAAATTCCATTACTTAATATTATTAAATTACTAAATAATAAGTTATACTTACTTGACTTTTTTTGTAAAAACAAAATCATTATAGTAGATAGAAATTTATCATTTATTGTTACTATCTACAACACAATCGGACATTACATTTACAGCTTCCAAAAATAAAAAACCATCTAATGAAATCATATATTCGCTATTTCAGATCATTACATTGGGACTGATTATGTCGGGTCAATGCCAATATCAACAGCAACAGAAGCAACGGGACCAAGAACTTTACCCAACAGCACCTCCACCTCAAATTCTGACTCACAAACAGGCGCTCAACCACGATGGCAATTTTAAGTACCTCTTCACTTCCGAAAATGGCCTTGCACAAGGAGAAAGTATTGCTCCTGATGGGTGGGTCTCCTATAACTGAACAACAAAATTAAATGTAATGTATATTTGTTCTCAGTTCTAGAAATGGTGGATACAGTTATGTAGACCCAAATGGTAGAAAAATTTCAGTCAAATACACTGCTGGCAAAGAAGGCTTCAGAATATTGGAGGCTGATCATTTACCTAAAGCTCCGCAGCCAGTGGCACCGGTTCCAGCGGCACCCGCGCCTCAACAAGCGCAAGCTTATACCCAAGTAGTAACCAAATGTTGCTGTCTTAACAAATAAAAGACTTGTTTTGTTTTAGGCTCAACCCCAAACATACGATGACGGCCACTATAAGCCCCAACGTTACAACCCGGCACCTCAACAAACATACACGAGGCCAGTGTATCAAAACCAAGCTTACACACAGCCTAAACCTACATATTCTCAATTGAGGGCCCAACCTGACCCAATTTCAAATTCACTAAATGAAAAAGAGCCAGAATATAATGACGAACCCGGTAAACCTTATAGTTTTGGCAATGGTTACATTTTTGAATTTGGAGGTTAAATCTTAACCTGGGATATATTATGTGATTATATGACTGAATTCAAAAAATATTTTTTAGATGTTAACTATACATATTTCGCAGCTGCATAGCATAGACACAATTCATTAAGAACTTCTGAAAAATGTTCTCTATTACTGTGATTTACAAATATATGTCAATTGTGTAATAATAATTGTGACTATGAAAATCTGCTTACACACAAATTAGTTTCTCTATAAATGAAGAATTTATAGTTTCATTGATCTTCATTTTTTACTTTGACATTCTTATATTGCCAACATGATATCACACTGTGTGTTAAAATATTTCAGTATTTGTACTAATTTAATGATAATTGTTTGTGATGTTTTGAAAAAATATATATATTGTTAGAAAAACATGTTATTCTCACCTAGAAGTATTATGTTATTCGATAAGACAGGCCCCCAAACCATTATTATGTGGAATAATAAACTAAATAATCACTGTGACTGCTGATTCAGCTGATGCAATCGAACTTCTTTAAGAAGATCTTGGACGAGGGCAGATAAAACTTCTGGATTGACTCCTGCCTCGCAAAGTCGCACACAAATCGATAACGCTTCCGGATCCAAACCCGTTCCAAGTAGACGAGATAATTCGCATATGGATTGCAATGTTGTGGTTGCTTCTTTAATGTGAGCATGAGCTGATTTGCTACTATCCATCTATTCAGGGAGAGTTTATCAATCATAAAAATAAGTTTTGCGCTAAAATGGAATATTCACCTTTCGCCCCTACACAGCTAGTAAATCATTTAGTAATTTGAATTTTATACTTCAGGCGGTTGTGTTCTTCTTTGTTCACTTCTCCATAGCATACTAAAATATCAATTGTGTGGTCTGTGGTTCCCGAGCAACGATTATCTTCTTCTTTTACAAGTTACGTGCCAACATCTTGGGGCAAGGCGCAAGAATTTTAAAAGAGGATGCGCCCTTTGTTCGAAAGACTAGTAATTGTTACATGGCCATTAAATAGAAATTTACAAGTGAAATTTGTTTTACCGAAAGCCGAATTAGCAACAATCTGATGCTAAACCTTCCTTTCTTTCAATACCAACAACGCAACTAACTTGTTTTAACGTGGATAATTGATATGGTTGTTTGATTTCACTAGTTCCCTATACGGTGCGGCGCTATAATCAGATGGCGTTCAACTCAGCGTAGCGGCAATTTAGCTCAAGCGGTGACGTAATCTTTTCCCTCGAAATACGTTTCGTTATTTACTCATGAAGATAATGTCTAGCCTTATGATGCTGCTGCTTTGATTGTTAATGTAAAAAAATTTGCTTCAAAAATAAATTTCGAACGAAGGCAGCACACATGGCGTATGATTTCTGGCGATCTTATAGAGTTAGTCAAAGTGACTTCAAAAAGTTACTTGTGGTGCGTCTGACGTAAGTTTGTTACATCATACCCTGACCTCAGATTGATAATAAAAACAAATATACAACAGAAATATATAATAATTTGTTACTCGAACACAAATTGCTTAAGTTCTAAAGTTACATATTATACATTACAAATAAATAATACAAAACATATTTAAAAAAATGATGAAAAAAATAATAAATTATTAATAAGATTTTTTCTCTGCAACGTATAGAGAGCACAACAGATACGGATAATTATAAACATTAAACAAACTAAATAAACAATAAAAATCTAATTTAATATTCTTTCTTCCTAACTTTCTCTTCATTTCAACTTCTGCAAATTTAAATTTAAATACAACAATTATCTAAAGATAATATAACTAAATAAAATAACATAAAATTGTTTCTTTAGTATTATATAACGATATTTTACTGAGTTGATGTAATCTGAATATGGGTGGTCCAGGGTTAAACCATCAAATATCTGAGATAAGACTTTTTTTCCAATAGACTTGATTTATTTTCGAGATACAGACTGTCAAAGTTTTTATAGGAGAACACCATTTTCTGTAGCTTAGAAATTTCTCAAGAAGATTTGTGCGTTTGGTAGTACTCATAACATTAAATAATGATAATTTGGAAAATTCTTTACGCCTTTGTATCAGTGGAATTAATTCAATGATTTAATTTAATGTTGTAATTGTTTTTTACATTTCATTTTTTTAATAAAGAAATAAATAATAAATAGTAATAAATAAATAATAATGATAAAAAAATTTCAACACCTTTCACGGGCGTACATTATTTCGTCAGTTACAAAAAAAGATTCAGCTATGTAGGATGAAATACTCTGTTCATTAATTAAGCGTGTTACAGATTTTATAGTTGAACCTCTTAATTTTTTGATTATTCGGTCTTTTTTAGAAGGTGTATTTCCCTCAGCCTTAAGACACTCCATTGTTGTGCCCATACAAAAGAAGAACGTTACCCATTTAATTTCTAATGACCGTTGAATATCACTTCTATCGGTTTTTTCCAAAATATTCGAAAAGTGTTTTTACTTGCGGCGCGATGCATTTCTAAAGAAAGAGCAATTTTTCTCGAATTCTCAGTCTGATTTTCGCAATGGATTATCTACTCGAACCTGGATCAGAATAATAAAACATTATGTATGTTCTTTGATTTCAAGCGAGCTTTTGTACTTGCTACTAATTTGTTGTTGAATGAGTTAAATAACTGCGGTATACGGGGGTTTAGTTACGCCTGGATTCAGTCGTTTTTGAAGGGTCGTGACCAAAGAGTTGTGCTTTGAAGTGATATTTGTGTGATTAGATCCCCATCTAAAGAACTCATCAGCGGTGTCCAACAGGGAAGACAATTGTTTCCTTATATGCAGATGATACTGCTGAGGCAGTGTCATTTAGGAGTTTGGAAGATCTCATGTTCTTGGCGGGGGCAGTAAGTGGTATGATCCGATATTGTGAGCGTAACGGTATTTGTTTGAACGGGACAAAGACTGGGATGATGTTGTATTTCGCTTAGGGATTTGTACAAGAGCTTATTGGTTAGAATGCAGGATAAATCGATTAATCAGACTAACGTTGTCAAGTATTTGGGTTTGTTCATAGACAGTAATTTGTCCTGGACAGGCCAAATTGACTACGTATTAAGCAAAATGACTATGCATACTTTTGTTATTTGGCGACTGCGGTCGATTGTGGATCTTAAGCTTTTACTATTGTATTATTTCGGACATGTTCAATGTTGGTTATCTTACACTATTATATGCTGGGGAAACTCTTCTAGAGCTAGTGAAGTGTTTGTTCAACAAAAACGTAATGTTCAAACAATGTTGGGGAAGCCTTGTAGAACCCTGTTCCCAAAATTAAATATTTTAACGTTTCCCTCTCTCTATATATTAAATAGCATAATTTACATAAAGAGAAATCTATCTAATTATTATTGTTATTCATTTTAGAGCTAATCTTAATTTGCAGGCGCCAAGTCATAAGTTAGCCAAAGTTGCTGACAGCCCTATGATTTTACCAATAAAACTATATAATAAGTTGTCTGCCTTTCTCCGTCAGACAGATATTGCCTGTCCATTTATTTAAGCAATAATTAAAGCTCATTTTGATTAAGAATGTTTTTTATTCTATCTATGAATACTTTGATTGTAGTAATGCCGATCTCTCAGTGTGATATACTTTGTGTGTTGGTATATATCTGTTTTTAAAGTTTGTATTTGGGTTCTAATGTTTTTTTTACTTGTTGACATTATTCGATACATTTGTTAAAAATTCAATGGAAATAAACATTATTATTATTAGTATAAATTATATTATAATAACAATGTCGTATTATTTCAGGTCTGATATCTACCGTCAAAAACTAGGACCTCCACTTTAAAACGCAGCTCGCGAACGCATTTGAGCATTAAAATTCGGCACAGAACATGTCAAAGGTGTTGCCTATAATTTATACACACCGTTTTACATTTTTGCCACAGTTTCGTATACATGGTTTCTTCAAATCCTTCCTCAACAATTTGCCAAAGTATGGCGGAAAGTGGAGCCACAATTCGTGGCTGGCATTTGCAACATTGAGAAAAAACATTACCAATTAGTGATTCCGATCTGTGTATAATGCCGAGCAAAAATTCTAAAATTGTTTAGCACATCAAGTCACTGAGATATTATTTTTTATTTTCCAAGGACAATGAGTAGACCGAAAATCATAATCGACGTTGTTATTTTTTAAGAGTTTAAGGGATATTAATACGATAAGGATGGACATTACAGGATTAAGTGCATTACTAATAAAAAATAATCTCGTCCAATGCGATGATCGTTTTTCGACAGCAAATTTCGTATGATGGATGATGAAAGAAATAATTTATCAGATAATGTAACTTGTACCGGATGTCTCATTTGCTAAATAAAGCATGATACTTCAACTCCAAATGCGCCCTTGCTGTGCCTTTTCAAAGATTAATTGCTAATTGCTGCTATGCCAGTTAGTGGTATTGTTGAAAATACCACTGGCAAGACTCTATTAAATTTGTATGGATGATACTTTTCTTCTTCTTATATTTCTTCAAGATTCTATCACCGTCAGTTTTTGGAACACCAATTTTTTCCTCAATTTTTCTATATGACGATGAAGGTGTTGCTTCTTCATATTCTAAAACTGCTATTTGTTTTCTTTTCCTTTTCTCTTTGTAGTATGTTCTAGGACTGGGGCGAACAAATGATCCACTAGCAAATATCTCAAAAAAAAGGTTGTCTTCGTTCTGGATATCTAACAAGCACAAAACTTATAGTGATAATCGCGATTTTCATAGCCATAACTGCTTACTCACCTTTGGACATACAATTCCGAAGCTGCTTCAAAGTTTTTATTACTACTGTATAAAACACACCAGAATTTCATATTTTTCATAATTTTCATAAGCTGCCCTTATCAAAAGAAATTAAGTATCAATTAAACGTAAATGCCGAAAGAACGCTTTGCTTTAAGTTGAACTAAAAATCTCTGGAAATATTTGTTTATTGTCATAAAGAATAAGACTGTTGCTTGTTTCTGACAAAAATATATAGTATCAAATATATAGGGCGTTCCAAGAAAAAAATTAATTAGGGTTTTTACCTGACCCTGTATAGTAATTTCCGAGGTGGAATTGAGATTTACGGAAAATGTTATATAAGCGACAGTTTTCACATTTTCGTTTAAATTATTTGATAGTTTGAGATATCAGAGGTGTCAATTCAACTTAAAAACTAAAATGAGACATTCTGTACACCAACTCAAAAAGAAAAATCATCCTCCCGAATATACATATAAACAAAATCAGATTGCGATATTTTCTTTCAAGCTGTAGATTTCGTGCCATGATGAGTACCTCCATCATTTCAACATGTGCCGCTTTAAATATAATTTTCAGTCTGGCAAAAATCGTAACTGCGACTGGTAAGTAAGCTCGTATGGTAATCATACAGGTAATGCAGATAATATTTTTTTTATTCAAAATGAAAATTAACTTGCTCGGTTATCAAATAAACGAAAAATAAGCCCAATAATGGTGGCCAATTAATCCTGCACCAATCCCTGAGGATTTAATGATTTCCGAAGCTCTTATCGTGAAGTTAGACATTGAAAACAAATGACGTGAAATTAACAAATTATTTATGCCCCTGTAAAGTTGAGTCTGCAGATTTCTGCTGACGACAATGATGAAGTGCAGTGCGGATCTGAATAGGCTTGTAGTCTTTTCATTGACTTTGGCAGTAGTCCTCGCTCAAGAAGGTAAGTGGATAAAAAATAATATTAAACAATAGAAAGTGCAACTATTCCATGTTTGTTAAATATAATCTTTCATACATTTTTGAATTTGAAATTTTGGCTTTGGAATTTTTGGGTTCAGAAGAAAAATTCTACGTTGGTATGGCCAATTTTCCCAATATTTATTTTATTTTTATTTAATTTTGAAATTTGTGTCTAGGACAATAAAAAAATTATTCGAATTGCGATTAGAAAAATTCAAAATGAAAGTTTTCCATAGTTTTCCATGCTTGTTAAATGGAAAATTGCATTTAATTAAAATAACCAAAACTATTTTTTCAAAAAGCACACTTTTTAAAACCGGAACTTTTTGGCAACATTTTCAACTGAAATTTTGGAAAAGCGTTTTGTGCTTTTGTTCATAGGCACGATTCCACATTCTGAAAATTTGTACATTTTTAAAACTATCAATTAATCAATTAAATCAATCAATCAGCTCGTGAATGCCAGCTCTAGGACATGATAACTATTTCAAAAAATATGTCACCCCTCACGATTCTAAAATTCCCTGTTTCTACGGACTCTCTCGGGTTGTTTCTCCTACCTGATCTCTAGCAAAATGTCTATATTCAAAGGTACTCTTTACTAATGTTCTTCACATTTTTTCATTTTAATGGAAGAATGCTTATCCGGAATATATTTTGTTGTAACTCTTCAATTGATGAACAACTATCATTAACAGGTGTGGGTTTTCCACTATCACCAGTCATCGCAAATATTATTTTGCAACTTTGTAAGAAGAAAGCTCTCGAGACCTTCCATCAAATACCAAAATGATGGAAATGCTACCTACATTGATGATATTTTTGTTATTTGACCCTCCGAGATTTCCTCAACCAGTGAATCCATACGTTTTATCATTGAATTGAAAACTGATTCCTTAATGCATTGTCACATCACCATCCGCTCCAGAAGTCATCTCTTTTGTTCACGGAGCCATAACACTATTTCAACCATTACAAAAACTTTTACAGCAAGTGGGTCCGAAAGCAACCCCACACTTGCCACTGTGGTTCCTCCTTACATTCTAAACATTGCCTAGCACATACTAAAAGTTCTTAAGAACTGTTTGAGGCACCAGGAGTTTACAGCGTTCTTATTCATTGCAGCAACTCATTAGCAGTTGCCGAACATCATCATGAAACCTGACAATATTTTTCCATCAAAATATTCTATTCAATCCAAAAATGCATAGTGAGCGCCATTTAAAATTCAGAAGTTAAAAATTGTCTCCAAACTCCACCTAACTTCATTAATGGGCCTGGAACAACACCGTACAAAATGAAAACACGACAAGATTTTGGTTAGTCGTTTGCCCTTACTACAGAAGTTCGAATATTTACTTCATAAATCGAAATATATAGAATGTTTTCGCTAATCACACGGAATAATACGATGTTATAATTTTAATCCCTCTTAATTAATTTAATAGCAAATTCTGCCAAGGAATATTGTATGGCTAAGGGAGAAGTAACAAAAACGAATAAAATTTATTTCATGATCCCTTATAGGTCTGCAGTTGACTTGCATAGAAGGTGTCCAAAGCTGATCTTGATAAAATTCTTGTGCTGGTTTCAGCAGCTTAGTTATTTTTCTTCAAATCGTCCACGGTTGCCATAAACGTGCTAAAAGTATCAAACTTGTATTTTTAAATGCAATTAAAAATAAGTTTCTGTTTTAGTTATGGTTTTTGCACTAGGTGATGTTGTCTCAAACGTTAGTTTTATTGCATCTGGTTGCTTAAAATATTTCAGTTGGGTCTCGATTTGGCGTGAATGTTTAATAACTGTCTCGAAGATTTAGACATTTTATAATTGCATTCATTCATTTAACAAAATAAATAAGAACTAAAAGTTCAGATTTTCACGAAATTATATATTTTCACATGACAATTGTTTCGAGAACACCGTGTTATCAAATGTGATTTGATTTGATAAATAGACGGTGTTGTCGACACAATTGTCATGTGAAAATACATAATTTCGTGAAAATCGGAACTTTTAGTTCCTATTTATTTATTTATTAATTTTAGGTAAATCTAGCACATAATCAATCTCTACTTTTATTTCTTAATTAATAAGTATTATTCTTATCAGTGTTTTTATAGAAAACCCCCATATGGAAATTGTTTTTAGTCTAATACACAAATTTTGCGTTGGAATTAAGGAACAATGATTAGATATGATTTAAGCAGTTTATTTATATTTTCTAGAGCACTTATTTTGATTGTGGATTTTTTCTGACAGTTCTGATAGCCAGTATCGCTTTAAAATACGACAACCGTTGTCGTAGCTCAAGAGATGACTGCTTCAAATGATACATCGATTTTTGTAATGACCGGAGTTTTGGGGAGCCTCAAAAAATTAGCAGCGTATAGTTGGAGTGCGACGGTGTCATTAAACCCTTGAATACGATTCATGGCACAGAAAAAGAAATTACAACATATCAACAAACTTGTTAATTTGTCAAACAAATTTTTACCGGATAGTGTAATACTATTTACAAATCTCTTCTGGATTCGAAATTGCTGACGTTTCGCTGATCATATTAATGACTTCTTTAGAGTTGAACCGAAACAGCTTCAATAGGACGGCAACAGGCGGATGTAGTTACTGTTATTTTGCATGCGACGTCCATGGCGGATAAAGCAGTCAAAATCTCAGTAGTTACTTGAGGACTACCTGCTCATTCTCAAAAAAGTCCAATTTAGTTTTCCTAACTCATCTACAGATGGCAGCACACATATATATATATATATATATATATATATATATATATATATATATATATATATATATATATATATATATATATATATATATATATATATATATATATATATATATATATATATATATATATATATATATATATATATATATATATATATATATATATATATATATATATATATATATATATATATATATATATATATATATATATATATATATATATATATATATATATATATATATATATATATATATATATATATATATATATATATATATATATATATATATCAGGTTCTTGCTTAGGTTCATGGCAATAAGTAATGGTTTCGTCATAACTATTTATCGTCCAAAATATCAACTATGACCTATCAAGTGCTGTTTGCTCCCTATCTGAGCCATAGATATTTCGAAAAACTGTTGCTAATTTTCTCAATACCTTTTATATAAAGTGGCATTATCATTGACCGTTTCTACCAGTTTCAGTGTATAGTTTTGATTAGCCAACTTGTGCAATTGTTTTTTCGAACCGATGATGCCGAACACAATATATTTGTAGTTTCTTCAATACTGCTGGTGAAATATCTAATAGATCTGCTTAAAATTTCCAACGGCAGCTGAGTTTTAGATGCTCGCAGTCGTCCTCAAAAAAGCAGGAATCAGGAACTTAAGTGCAAGTGACGCAATAAAAAATATTGAAAATAAAGCAAATTACAAAATGATTTCCATAATTGTGTAATATACATAAAATTTAAAAAAGGTGCAGTGAAAGTAAATGTAAATGTAAATAGTTTGATTTAGAATATATAATATAATATATATTTCGAACAAAGTATATACAATAAAGCACTTTATAATCAATAATCAAGATGAGTTTTCTCACATCCCGAACTTTATTGGTTGAAGAAGTTGAGTTCAAAAACTTTTTTAAAAAACTACATACAATCCTATTCCTATTCTTGAAACCATCAAGATTATTTCAGACATATTAAAATCCGGAATCAAGGCTGCTCATCTTAATTTAAAAATGCTTGTCTGGAACATATTATTCTTGTAACGATCAAGTTTAAGAACAAATATGCAATGGGCTTTCTCCAGACACTTTTCAAACCAAAATTATGACGTCGATGCTTTTGTTATTTGGGCTTATGATCAAGAATTCGAGATTTTCTTAACAATTTAAGCGCTATACATTCTAACGTAAGTGTTTCCATGGAATTTGAAATTAATAATCATCTAATATTCTTCCATTGCAAGGAGTATATTGGAGAAACAGGACTAAAAATATCAGGCTAGGCTGAAAACATGAAAGAGTCTGAAGATTACGATAAATAAACTCATCAGTAGTTGCCGAACACAATCATGAAGCAGGACATCAAATTTTATTCGACTAATCTAGAATTCTTGCACGCAATCAATTCTTTTACCAAGGAGAAATCGCCAATATGGGAATAGTATATAACTAGGTACAGGAATGCAGGAGGAATCCAGAAGATTTGTAAAAAGCATTACAGTAGCCTGAGGAAGTCTTTTTGTAAAATTATTCATTGGATTAAAAGTGCCACGCAAATTTCCTACAAGAAATTATTGCTACTGTTAACACTCGTAATGACGTAATTATTTAATACTATTATTACATTAATAGCTTATTATAAACAGTTTCTTTTAATTTTCTATTAAATGGTTGAAGACTACCAGCAAAGGAATTAAAACTATTGTTGTTGATACACATAGTAATTGTTGGCGCGATGAAAGAGAATACAAAACATTTGGCCTCCCTGAGGTCTTGGATTAATGTGATAGCGAACGGACTAGACAGTAGCTATATAGTGATATAAACTATTTAAAGTCATATCAGACCATATTTATGTCATTATAAACATTTATGTTGGCGTAATATGTTACGTTTGGTTAGTTATGTCATGGACACCATGATACCGCATACGCACGTATAAATCTAGAGGTTAAAATAGTGAAGTCAGAGCTGTAGAATAAACCTCCGTTTCTATTGCCTTTGTTAACAATATCGTCCAACTGAGTTCCAAATCAGTATAAAGTCAAACATGATGACAAAATATCGTGGCACACTCCATCGTTGTGTTATTGCAAACTAATTTAACAAGTACTAGTTGAGCGAGAAAAAGAACTGCTTAAATATTTCTTCACATTCTATTCTAGACCAATTTATCAAAACCATAACATAAGATTATTATTCAAATGTGATTCATG